GAAAAAAAGAGGCGCAGTCAAATAATCCACTTGATTCCTTCGAAGTTTTCACAAATCTGCGGGAGGAATCCAAAAGAACAAGTGGGTATCGTTTTCGACTATTTGAAAGCTGCCCATTTGCGACTGGCAAGGAATTGGCATACGTTTCTTAATACATCTTCTGTTACTTCGATACAGAATTCAACATGCTTTGATCAGGGTATAAACTACATACTGTAAAAAGATGAGCCATATTTGAGAATAACGCGATCCACTAAAAACCACTGACTGGTTAACATTCAACAGAAAAGCAGACTGGGGAAAATGAAATTTAAAAATCCAGGATATTTTTATGGGGCCGATAATAAACCCTCTGACATGCGCAGATGCGGAAACGTTTTAATCGATACCAGGTGCGAAATTCGGCGCGAAAGAGTGTTCTACAAGTAGAAACGAAAAAAAATATTCAAAACAGCCCACGGTCATTAAAAAAAAAACAATATTTTCAGATGAACAACCTGGAATTACAGTACAGTACTTACAAGCTGTTTCCCCCGTTTCTTCGCGAATGCGCAAAGAATCGGCGATTCATGTTGTTTATGTCACATGTTAAGAGCCTGTGGCAAAAAAGCTCTGCAAGGTTTTTGCGAACGACGCCAATTTTTTCAATAATCACGAAGAAATAAATTGGCATTGGCTGGATATAGAAACGGCTTTCTAAGCCTCTTTCCCAGCGCTAAATTTAATAACGTGAGCGAAAATGCCGCTCCGAACACCAAGATTTTCGATTCTTCCAAGAAATACGAGAAGCTACTTTTATTACTGGGTGTTGCGACAACTCGTGTCTTATATTTTAGTTACCGGAGGATATGTTTTAGCGCAGCAAGAGACCCTCACAAGTATTTACAAATGGCGCCAGAGAAGTTTACCCGCACTTGATTCATTAAAATATTCATTGGAACTTGACCGAAATACCGCAACTCATTCCGACAGAACCACGTCAGGTGACCTTCAGGAAGGAAAAAAAAAAAAACCTGGCTGGGTCCTGAGAGGAGTGTCGATCAACCGCTAAATTTCGAAATTTCGCTGATGCTAAAAAAATAAAATACAAACCTAGGTTAATTGTGCACATTTCTTTCCTTCCGAAATCCGTTCTTTTTTGCGTTTTTCCTTTTTTCTTTTTGCGCACTGAAAGAATTTCACACATCTTCGATTCCCAGACAGGGGAGTGCGACTTTTTGACGGATAGCGAAGAGGTGGCACTCGCGAGCCAGCGGTAATTACGAATTACCCTCTCATTAGGGCAACAGCCTCGTCCTTGTGGTGTGTGTTTTGCCCTCGTTAATATTAGTTAATCGTCCGAAATGCCGACTAATGAGGTTCCAACGAAGGTTTCTTGTAAATTCCCGAGGCTGTCTCGTCTTGTTTCACTCGTCTCATTCTCCGATAAATGCTTTTTCCCACGAATTTTCCCTTTCTTCCATGACACATTTTTACACTCGGGGGAATCTTCGAACTTAAAATCCACCGTTTCCTGAAGTTTTCCTCAGAAACAATTTCTTATTTAGGATGACTTTTTCTTGTATTACAGCCGAGAATTTTTTTTAGTTCAAGTCAGGGACACTGTTTGCCTAATTCTTTTTTATAAACCCCTATTTCATTCATTAGCAATGGTGCAAAAACATATGAGGCCGATTTAATCCCAAGGCGATTTTTAAATCTCATTTTTTTATTTATCTATTAAAACAGGTGACCCATTCGAAAGTAGGCAACTCCAAAAGATAGCCAGGAGTTCGAACCCAGACTAGAACCAAGCAAGTTCAAGACATTTCATGCTCACAAGTACAGTTTTCGGTTACCTCATTCCAGCCCTGTGTTGTTGGGATATAAGTAGCTCTAGTACTGCAAGTCAGTACTTTGAAAAATCTGCAACAAACCGGAGTTCTATTTTTCACGGCTTTAAAAAAAGAAAGGCGGAAATATCAAGTGACGGGGTCACGAACTAGCGGTTGCATGCTTATGGAAATGATCGCAATTTTTCTTCTTCCTCAATGCACTGTGAAACTTATTGTTCGAGTCATGCAAAAAGTACACCATCTAGGAAAATCACTTGGACAAATCGAAACTCAAAGCAAAAGAGTCACACTTTCAAGCATCGCAACAGCGGATATCACGAGAAGAACTGAAATCAGTTTTTTCTTGCAGTGGTCGTGCTGATTTCTTAATTCGGATAAATCAATGTTCGAAAAGCTCAAGCGTACACAAAAAAAAATTCACTTTCGAAAAAACCGAAGTATAGAGGATTTTCATTTTCTTGTTGAAATATGGCGCAGTCGTGGTCAACTGATGACGACCAGGAAAGTGAATCGGCGAGCTACCAAAATGCGTGGAAATTAAATTCAATTAATGTCACATCTCGTGTTTCGAGTCTGACAAACAATTAATTCGAACGAGTGTTTTGCCAAGAAGTGAATAGTGAACAACAAAGGCCGCTTCGATCACCAAGTCACGCGAAACACAGATGAAATGTCCGTGAAAAACAAGAACCAGGTTGACCAATCGATTTTCAATTATTCCTTGAAGAATTTTCTCCAGCAACTCTTGATAATAAAACAGAA